TAGTGAGGGTGTGTGACAGGGACGCCCCACTCTGTCGTAGTGAGGGTGTGTGACAGGGACGCCCCACTCTGCCATATGCTGTCATCAGGGTGATGCTGCCATGATGAAGATGTGTGTTGGATAAGGAGGTCCATTTGACCCAGAGAAGAAGGGCCTCACGGCTGGTGGTAGAGGGATGGAGGAGAGGGGCTGGTCTCCCCATCACCCGGCTGCTGCCTCATAGCCTTCCTGCCCAGAGATGAAAGAGAAGCTGAGTCTTCAACATGAAGGACTGGCTGTAACCCCAGCAGCTCCTCTGCCACGGGGTGAGGTGCACACTTGGCACGGTGAGCCAGCCGCACCTGACCGCCCGGCACTGCGTCACATGGAGGTGCTGGTCTCCAGGACGGCCTGGTGGCTTTCCCGTGCTCGGCTCAGAGTCTGTGCCTTAGAATACTGTGTCATCTTTATAATACTCTGTCATCTTTACTTCTTCATGCAGACAGAAGCCCTCGTTTTTTTCTGCCCTCGTTACTGGTATTTTTCTGCGTATACATGTAATTTTCTTGTTTGTCCTTGTTGCTGAGAATATACACAGCACAGCATACATCATTTTGACAGTTCCTGCAGGTCCAGTTGTTGATGACATGTCTCCCTTTTCTGAGTTATTCCTCCCTTATTCACATGAGCTCCTCACCCCTTGAGGTCCTGTCTGATGTCTAGAGTTACTGTTGTCACTTTGATTCCTTGTACACATTCTTAAAAGAACACAGTGCATGAGGCTGACAACGTTACTAGGTAAACTCATCTATTAGCTTTAAGAAGACTTCAGGGGTCCTTTTTTCTTCTTTTTAAAAAGTATTTTATTATGTTTTAGGTGTTTATTGTGTTTTACACAGCAAATTAGATTCCCATTTTACAATTTTTATAGAAATTGTTCCATGGCATTGGTTGCATTTTTGACAATGATTTCCACTGTTTGTTCTGTTTCCATTAATCTGGTTTCCATGCACCTTTGCCTATTCATCTTTGTTTGAAGGTCAGTATTAACCATTGGTCTCACATAGTTGATTATTCAAGGGAGCACTGTACTCATGGGTGATAATGTTTATTTCATAAGCAGATCTGTTACTGACGTGAAAAGTTATTAACAGTGGTTTGTGTTCCAAGTTCAAAGGTATCTTAGAGTGACAGTGTTGAAGGGTCCCTCTAGTCTCTGTCAGTCCACCAAGTTTGGTCTTTCTTAGGAATTTGAGTTTTGTTGTTTGTTTTTATTGTGATTTGGGTGCAAGTTTACAGAACAAACTCAGTTTCCATGCAACAGTTCATACACAGTTTGTTTTATGACATTGGTTGCAATCCTCACAGTATAACAGCTCTCTTCCCACTTCATCCCTGTGATTACCTTTTCTCGGGATATTTTTGGTTTAAGGTTTAAAATTTATCTCAGGGCAGGAGTTTCAGGGGTTCCTCCAGCCTCTGTAGCCCCAGAGAATATGGAATCCATGAAAATTTGAAATTCTGTCCTGCATTTTTCTCCCTTTTGATCAGGATTCCTCTCATGAACCTTTGAACTGATCTGGTGCTATTCAACTAGATTTCATGGTTGACACAGAAAGTATCATGGTATAATTGGCTTGAGAAGTGATTGTTTTCATTACTGCTTGGTGTGCTCAGACTTTTTTCTTCTAAATTTGGCTCACAGCATGTCCACTCAGAGATGTCTCTGAGGATTAACATGGAATCGTGTGTTAATCATCAACTGTGACTTGTCTGCTTTGGACATGTGGTACTTGGTTTGGTTTATTTGCTGTGGGGGGCATTTCTCAAAGAGACACCCCAGTACATACAGGACACACGCCATCCCACTGAGCTCTCGTGGTAATGCCTGGCATGAATGGGGTATACATGCTGCAGCCTGGCACGGGCAGGATGCACACCGTCCCACTGAGCGCCCACGGGGCTGCCTGGCGCAGCTGGGATGCACACTCCCGCTGAGCGTCTGTGGGGCTGCCTGGCATGGACAGGGCACAGGTGTCGCTGCCCAGTGTGGCCAGGGCGTGTGCTGTCCCCCTGAGCACCTGGATGACGTTCCTGATGCAGGTTCAGTGCACGTTTCCCAGGGGCCTTTGATAGCACGTTGGTGTTTCAACGTCCACTACTTTACCTCCTGGTTGAGAGGGAGATAAATGATAGTAGAAAACATGCTGTCAGCTTCGCTTTATTTCTTCAGCTGACTGACTGTCCCTGAGAAATGAGATGACTGTGGTAGAGATGTGACTGGTTTGGCAAGGGCATTTCCCTTCATAACTGTGCACGACATGGTGCTGTGGTCCTTTCTTATGGCCAGCAGTGTGGTACCATGACCCGCCACCTTCCTCTGGGCATTGGCTGTGGGGCTCTCTTGATACTCTGTCCTAGTGAGTTGGGGCCATGCCTCCCATCAGCACTGAGCCCGAGCAGCTAGGCAAGGACATGCTCAGGGCCTTCTTCAGCCTGAGATTGGGGAATGGTCACCAGTATGCTCTTTGTTTTATGATTTCTGCTTACACTTAGTTCTTTACCCACTTGTAATACATCTTGGAAGATAGAGTGTGTTCAACACACTGTGGCCATTCATTAAATAATCTTTCACCCACTAACCTGAAATAATACCTTGATATATACTAAATCCTAAAGTGCATTAGAATTTCCTGTTGTTTTCTGACGTGTTGTGCTGGTCTGTCTCTGATGGGCTGAGTGTCAGTGTTGTTTTGCCATCTCACCAGTAATGCGTGCAGGCGGGCTCGGCAGTCAGTGGTTTGTAACAGCACAGGGTGCTTGTCTGCCTCATCCACTCCCCCACCCTGTAGCAGCCCTCTCTGCAGGTGCTGATGCCCCGTACATCTCAGTGACATGCAATGCTGCCACTTGTTGGTGGATCCTTTGTAGCCAGCTGCGCCTTCGGGTGGGACTAGGGGAGGTGACTTTCGGTGAGACTGGGGAGGTCACTTCCTTTGCTGCCGTTTTTTCCACTTTTCATCCTTTACTCTCCAAGTGTAGGTTTAGAAGTCATTTTGAAGTGGACCTGACGTGTCTCAGTCCTCATGATATGCTCGTGGGACTCTGCTGAGCATCACGGCAGATCGCGGTTCCGTTTCCCAGAGTCGAGAATCGCTTTTCCCTTCTTTGGTCCATAGCCTTGCCTTTGTGCCACTTCCCACAAGGTCAGCCCCACCTTCTTCTGCAGTCGCATTCCCCAGCTACGTGTCCCCCGCTCCTCGAGGACTTGGGAACATCACTGTGTGGAGAGTGGGCACTTGTTCCCACTCTGCTGTTCCCGCATTCTTGCTGGTGTGTCAGAAATGTCGAGGACTTGGGGATGTCGCTGTTGGTATGGAGAGCAGGCATTTGTTCACACCCTGCTGTTCCTGCGTTCTTGCTAGTGTGTCAGAAACGTACTAATGTTCAGTAGAACTTGATCACTGTTGAGGCAGCTCCATGCATTGTTTTCCTTGACCTCCTCCCAGCCACGTGTACAACTACTGTACTAGCGTACACCAGTCAAACCAGGCTCGCGGGGCCGGAGTCCCACCCTCCAAGTCAAAGAAGGGGCAGACACCTGGAGGAGCCCAGTTTGTCGGCTTGGAGCTATACAAGCGACTAAAGGAGTTTTTAAAGAATTACTTGACAAATCTTCTTAAGGTAAGATGTTTTGCAACATACTGAATGTTTAGAACAGAACAGCAAAACAGATGGCCACGTGAGCCCTGTGTTGGCTGTTGGCTGTGGTGAGCACTGGCAGGGGTCTACCCCTTAGATTGTACCATGCTGGATTGGCTGGGGGAGAACTTGCTGAGCTATTCATTTCAAGCATAGGGTCCTGCATTGGTGTCCCGGATGGCGTCTTTTTATGTTCTTAATTTTTGTGATTTGGGTGAACGTTTACAGAGCAAATTCATTTTCCACACAGCAGTTCACATACCCTTTGTCTCGTGGCATTGACTGCAGTTTCCTTGGGCATCTTTCTGTACAGCAGGGTGTTGTTTGTCTCAGAGCACACATGCATGTAGGGCACTAGCAGCCCAGCTTCCTTCCCTGGGAGTTCAGCACTCTTTCATGAGCGTGCATGCGTATTTAAACTATGGAAACACTTCCAGTTTATTTGGAGATGAAAGAACTTTTGTTAAAACCCTGTGTTTAGTTTGATGCTCCCGAGCTGTATTCCTGGGGGAATTTACAGTCATGAGCATATTCTTAGAGGAGCTCTGGCGGCGCGGTAGTTAAAGCATTTGGCTGCTAACAGGTCAGCGGTTTGGACCCACCAGCCGCTCCCAGGTGGAAAAGTAAGGTAGTCTACTTCCATAAAGATGACAACCTAGGAAATCCTGTGGGGTGGTTCTACTCTGTCCCCTAGGGAAGCTGTGAGTCAGAATCGACTCCATGGCAGTGGGTGTGGTTTGGGCTTTGCTTCTGTGACCCAACAGCCACTCCTCGGAAGGAAGGTTGGGCAATCTACTTCCATAGAGATACCACCTCAGAAACCCAAGGAGGGGTCGCTATGAGTCAAAATCGACTTGACAGCAATGAGTTTGTTTTTTTCTTCTGTGAAGGTTGACAGCTTTGGAAAGCCTGTGGGGCAGTTCCACTCTGTCCTCTAGGGGTGCTGTGAGCCTGAATGGACTCCAGGGCAGTGGGTTTGGTTTTGGGTAGCATGTTTTTACATACAGGATGATTTAAAGAGATCAGCTATAACCATGTGCCTTAATTTATTGTAACAAAATCAGTTTTTGTTAATTTTTTGTCTTTATCATGTGACAAATTACTCATCTTAAAGCTCCAGTTCACGTGTTTTTAGGACGGAGAAGATTTGATGGATGAGAGCGTCCTCAAGTTCTACACTCAGCAGTGGGAAGACTATCGGTTCTCTAGCAAAGTGCTGAACGGGATCTGCGCCTACCTCAACCGACACTGGGTCCGCCGCGAGTGTGACGAAGGGCGGAAGGGCATCTACGAGATCTATTCAGTAAGGATGGGGACCTTCCTCATGTGCCTCGCCTTTTGTCCCTGGGGTCTAGAGCAGCGTGAAACACTCCAGGTCAGAGACGAATGTCCTTTGTTGTCACTGATGAGTGTGTGGCCCTTGAGCATTCTGTGGCAAGGCAAGGAGGCAGATGGGTGGGGTCGAGTACCTCCACCTCGACCTCCTTAGAGTCTGTCCCCCGTGACCTAAGCTGAGGTGAGGGTGGCCACGCTCTCTTGTGCCTGCACTGCCCCTTGGTCCTGAGGGCACACTGGGAGGTGGCCCCAGCAGAAGCTCAGGCCTCAGTATGGCCAGGATCCCCTTTGAGTCCTGGGCCTTGAGGAGTGGCTGTAACTACCCTCCCACCCTACAGCGACAGCAGCAGTGGCAGCGGGCTTGCCGTTGAAGCGTTGTGTGCGCAGACGTGTGTGGGATGTGGTCTTACAGGCCAAGGAAGAGTGCGCTCAGAAAACTGGGCAACCTCAGAGGAAAACTTCTGACATGACAGAATCCATTTTTTGAGATATATGAATTTGTGAACAAATTACTACACTTCACTTTCTCAGTTTAAAAGGACCACGCTCCTTATGTACAGTCACCTGGGTCCATTTCAGGTATGCTGTTGGACACACTCACTGTTGTCTCCACTCATCAAACAGCCACCACACTCCAGACATAGAGCCTGGTCACCTTTTGTGACCTGGGGACACATTGCTTGGTTAACCCCATGGTGGTTTGAGCTGGTTAATCTGCTCCTTCAGTCCACATACTCATCTTGAGTACAGGTGGATCAACAGTGCTGCTTGCGTGCCTCTTGGCGTGTTTAACTCGAGAGCACCTCCTGTCTCTCCCAGTGATGGGTCGGCACCACGTTCTCGCCTGGAGATGCTGGCAGATACTCAAATCTCGGGTGGGGTTATTTGCTGTGACTTTAGTCTTGAAAACACGTAGTTAGAGCATCGACTTCTTAGACTTCTCTTCTTTTCCCAGCTTGCATTAGTGACTTGGAGAGACTGTCTGTTCAGACCGTTGAATAAACAGGTATGTGTTTGAGTGTGTGTGCACGTGTGTGCATGTGTGTGCATGCATGAGCACGTGGGAGTGGGCAAATTTTCCTTCTAAATTCCTCATAGATTTCATTTGTCACTCTTGTGTGTCAAAAGTACCTCTCCTGTTGCATTGTCACCTGGATTTTAGTGTTTAAGGTGTCTGGGAATGTGGTGTGTACTGGGTTCTGTACACTGCAAATCTCACGTGTTTCCTGTATTCTTTATAAAGGTAACAAACGCTGTTTTGAAACTCATTGAGAAGGAAAGAAACGGCGAGACCATCAATACGAGGCTGATTAGTGGAGTTGTACAGTCGTACGGTAAACAGTTTCTTCTTAATTTTCTTTGACTTTTCATGTCCAGTGGCAGTTACGACGGGAAAAAATCAACCGTTTTGATTTTATCAAGAATATTGTGAGCTTTTACAGAGCTACTTAACAATTCTATGTCCGCATGATTCCGTTTGATTTCACCTGTCCTAGGGGTTGTTTTCTTCCTGTTAGGCAGTGCTGGTGGGAGAGGCGTTTGAGTTATTTTCTTGCCTAGTCTCCCGGGGGCTGGTGGTTCTGCTGGCTGTGCAGGTGGACAGGTACGGAGAGAGCCATCCGCGGAGCTGGAGGTGACCAGAAGTCTTGAGATTGCGGAGCCGATAGGTCTGAGTGATAGGATTCTTTAAAACGAGGGTAACACTGCATTTCTTCGAAAGTTTAAAATTAGTTATTTTTGTGGTTTTTTTTAAAATAATATTTTATTGGGTTTTCAGTGAAGGTTTATCTGACAGTTTCTTTAGAGTCCTGTTTTATAATTTCTGCACATGTTGCTTAGTGACTTTGGTTACACTCTTCACAGTGCAGGAACATTGTCTTTACAGGAAGTGCCTGGGTTACAGATGTCTGACTGACAGACAACTCTTACTTTTAAGCAGGGCTTAGAACTGGTTCAAACCAGTTCTGTCATAGCTGACAAAGTGAAACAGGAACAGACCTGAATTTTTCCAGTTTGAGTGATTCGTGACAGTAGCAGGAGTGGGCAAAGTTACGGCTTGAAGCCCTGGAACGGAAGCCCCTCAGAGCCTGACTCTGGGGATTGGATTGCGGGCAGGACTGTGGAGAGCCACACACATTAAAAGCAGCACGGTCAGCCACCAGGTGTAGCAGGGCAGTGCTGTTCCAGCCCAAGATTGTTCTGTTTGTGTAAATGTCAATTTACTCTCCCTGTGAAACAACTGAACCAACTCCTCACAACAATTCCTTCAGCACAGTCACTTCACTTGCTGCATGTGCAGCTTTTAAATCACTGAAGAGGCGTGGAGTTCTTTCCTTTGCTACCCAAACCACACCCACTGCCGTGGAGTTGATCCCAACTCACAGTGCTCCTGGAGGACAGAACAGAACTGCCACAGGGTCTCCAAGGCTGTCCTTCTATGGAAGCAAAGCCCAAACCACACCCAGTGCTGTGGAATCAATTCCAACTCACTGCGCCCCTAGAGGACAGAGTGGAACTGCCCTATAGGGTTTCCCAGGCTGTCAGTCTTCAAGGAAGCAAAGCCCAAACCACACCCACTGCCATGGAGTCAATTCCGACTCACAGCGCCCCTAGAGACGGAGTGGAACTGCCCCAGAGGGTCTCCGAGGCTGTCGGTTTTTATAGAAGCAAAGCCCAAACCACACCCAGTGCTGTGGAATCAATTCCAACTCACAGCGCCCCTAGAGGATGGGGTGGAGCTGCCCACAGTGTCTCCAAGGCTGTCTCCCACAGAGCAGATGGATGGTAGGTTCAAACCAATGACCTTCTGGTTCACAGCCAAATGCCTTACCCACTACTCTACCAGAGCTCCTTTCCTTGAACTAAAGAAAGCTCAGTAAAAGCCATACACACCTGTTTTGTCTTACCTACACGTTTTTAAAGACACGGTCAGGAACAGATCGCGTTGGTGACTGGGAGACTACTTTGCTTATATTTTCATCTGGTTGTTCCATCCCCTGCCCTCTCGCAGTCTTATCTTTGTTTTCTTTGTATTGTTTTTAAGCTTTTGGAACTGTAAAGTTGTCTGAATGAATTTCCCCTGCCCTTTGAAGGCTGCCTGGCGCTGGCTCAGAATACTTGAGTTTTGTCTTCCTTTAGTGAAACAGTGTGCTTTAGTGTTAATGAACATACCTCTTGCCTTGCCTTTTTGTGGGGTGACTGAAATGCACTTCGTGTTTGTTTCAGTGGAACTGGGGCTGAACGAGGATGATGCATTCGCCAAGGGCCCGACGTTAACTGTGTACAAAGAATCCTTTGAGTCTCAGTTCTTGGCTGACACGGAGAGATTTTACACGAGAGAGAGCACTGAGTTCTTGCAACAGAACCCTGTCACCGAGTACATGAAGAAGGTGAGCATGAACGTCGGTGGTGCCTAGCGTGGCCGCTAGTCAACACAGTGGTGCTGTGCACGTTGTGTTCAGTATGTGAGAGAGTGTGAGTCTGAGTCTCCTGACCTGCTTTGTGTCCCCTGACTGGGCTAGGGACATATTTGCAGTGGTAGGGTGATGTTCACGGCTGGAACCTCTTCAGTTTCTGCTGAAGTTTCCACCTACAGCCAGTGGGGCATAGTCTGCACTGAGTCCCAGAGAGCAGATGCTGCAGAGGTAAATGTGCTCAGGTTTGCACACTTGCATCCCAAATGCCCCAGGACACAGCAGAGCAGAACGGGGGATTGTGATGACAGAGGCCCTTCTACCACGAGGGGCCTTGGGCCGTGGAGGGCCGCGCTGCTCACTCCTGTTCTTGTCGAGGTCACGGTCAACACTTCCCGGGAGCGAGTGGGTTCTGTGGTCTCTGCTGCAGCTGGTCAGCTCGACTGCTGTGGTGTGAAGGCAGCATACGGTGAGGAAGGCCGTGGCCAGGACAACTTTACTTACGAGGCCAGGGCGGTAGCTGGGATTGGGTCAGGCTGAGTTTCCTGGCACTGGGCTTAGATGTCCCAGGACCTCTGGGAGCCTGTCCGTGGTTCACACCTGCCCGTTGTTCCTTGTCCCTGGGTGCTGATCTCTGGGCTGTTGCACCTGTGTGGTGTCTCGGGCATTTTCCCCAGAGAGAGGATGACAACAGTGAGGTAGAGTGTAAGTGGGAAAGTCCTGGACAGACAAATCTCTGATGTTTCCAAGCTAGCAGCAGTGGGAGTTACCTGAGGGTTACATCTGGAGCAACATGGTTTTCTGTGGAGATGTGCAGTTGAAGCAGCTTCCCAGGCTGATAGGAATCTGCCCGTTTGGTGTCACACGGCCCTTTCTGCCAGGTTTCATCTGCAGTGCGGTGTCCATAGGAACATCGGGGCTGCAAGAGCCCTCTGCCCAGGTGTGCACCCTCAGCCGTGGTGGGAGCACAGCTGGCCCCAGACACTGGCGTGTGTGGTCTCAATCACCAGGCTTGTGAGGCCGGTTCCATCTGGTGCAGAGACTCTAATGAGGGTGCTGCGTCAGCATTCCCGGAGAGGGGCGTCTGATGAAAATCAGGCATGCAGCCCAGGAAACAATGCCCTGCCTCCTGTTGTCGAGGACAGTCCTCCCTGGAGGCCAAGAGGTATGGCCAGGTCCTGGCAGTGGTAGCAGGCAGGAAGTAGCACCCCTGTAAGTGCACAGTTCAGGCAGTCTGAGAAGTGCCAAGTTTAACGACGTGCCCAGTACACAGCCTCATCTCAGACTGGTCATGGGTCCTCCTCAGCCCTGCTCCATCTTCTTTCTCAACCGTGGGCTTGAGTTCTGCCCTCGCACCCGCTCTGCTCCATCCACTCTCGCGACCCTGGGCTGAGTTCCGCCCTAGCCCCCGCTCCCCCGTTCAGCAGCTGGGTGACTCTGCCTCAGCCTCCTCGTCTGTGAGGTGGAAATGAGGCCTGCGTGTGGTAGCTGGCAGGGCCACTGTCAGGTGCTGCAGAACTCAGCATGCGCAGCGTGTGTCTGCCCCTCCAGTGCAGTTCAGGACCCAGCCCGGGACCGGTGGGGGTAAGGCATGGCCTTCAAGAGACTGCTGCTGCAGTGGCCCGTCTGCAGATGCACAGACAACCTGGTTGAAGGCAGGGGCTCAGATTCAGTGATTCTGAGGAGACGGGGACGTTTGCCCTCACTTTTTTTCAGAGTCTGATTGACTGGGATGATCTGCAGCGGTGTCCTCGGGGCTGGTGGCCCCTCGCCTGGTGTCATAGCGGGGAGGGACCTGGGTCTCAGCGTGTCTGCATGGGGCCCTGAGGCTAACAAACGCACCGTGTGCCGCCCGCAGGCCGAGGCCCGGCTGCTGGAGGAACAGCGCCGTGTCCAGGTGTACTTGCACGAGAGCACCCAGGATGAGCTGGCGCGCAAGTGCGAGCAGGTACTCATCGAGAAGCACCTGGAGATCTTCCACACCGAGTTCCAGAACTTGCTGGACGCCGACAAGAACGAAGGTGAGCACAGGTGCCTCGTGATGGTGCTGCAACGACAGGCTCTGATGGCGCCACCGTGTGCGCTGAGCGGGGAGGCTTGGGTGCTGAGGCCCACGCGTGGCAGGCGTGCGACACTCACCACCCAGGGACCCGCACAGGTGCTGGGTGGGCATCTCTCCCCATGAGAAGCGTCTGACTCTGGTGGGAGCAGCACCAGAAAGCCCAGGAAGTGCAGAACACCCCTGTGTGTTGGGCCGTGTGAGTGGAGCAGTGTGGGGCCTGGGCACATCACATCCTCGTCCCCGCATGGGGGCTCTGAGGCCAGCCACAGGGCACGTGAGCGGATGGTAGAGGTTCCTGGGTCATGGAGCCGTGGGTCGTTCTCCAGTATGTAGGGTTTCTCCTGGTGGCAAGAACACTTTCCCACCCTCGTGCTGGGACAGCATTTTTCTTGCTTCCTAGGGGAATACTTTCCCTTCTTGGACATGTGGAACCTGCAGCAGATGTAGAGAGCAGACAGGCATGGCCATCGGCCTCAACAGTCACGTTGCCTGTCATTAATTTCGACCAGCCCAACCAGGGTTTGGGTGGGTGGCTGGTAGGGTTGACTTTCCTGGAGAGCAGAAGGTCCTGCAAGACAGTGTTGGAGTTGGTGATACCTGCACATGTGCTTCTCAAGCTTTTGATTGGAATTCTCAGCAGCACTGCAAATAAGGAACAAATAAATGGAAGCAAGAATCTCAATCTCTTTGCAATTTATCGGGTAAAATAAAACACTTTCACCTAAACATATTGCCTCAGAGATAGGTCATCCAAATTGTTAAAACTGTTCCCTTGATAGAAGCTTCACAAGAAGGGTGATGCATGACCCAGGTAAAGCATGTCCTTCCAGACCTGTACCTGGAACCAGGGGGGAGTCGAGGAAAGTGAGCTGAGCTGGTAGAAGGAAGAGTTGGCGTATGCAAGCTGGGAACAAGCATAAAGAAACGATGAAAACCAACATTCTTGCCAGACATCAGTCATTGATGATGGTGTGTGTGCACCTGTGTGTCCTGAGGACGGCCACTTACTGGAGCGCCTACTGCATGTCAGCATCAGCAACACCACCCAGCCTTGACTTCTGGGAGACATTCGGTGTCATTTCTGCTGAGATGTTGTCTCTATTCTGTAATTTTTCATAAGGAGGAAAAATAAACTTTTACAGTAGCATAGCTTCCTTGTTATTTCAGCTAAAAATACATGGATGTGAATGCGCATGGGTTGAGTTGAAACCTTTGACCACAGTTGGGTGGTCTTGGCGCTGGGGACTAGAGTGCATTGTCCTTCTATCAGGAGAGAGACAAGCAGTGGGGTGGGCCTGCAGATGTCTGTGCGTGAGATGCCACCTCTCCTGCAGATCTGGGCCGCATGTACAACCTCGTGTCCAGGATCCAGGATGGCCTGGGGGAGCTGAAGAAACTCCTGGAGACACACATCCACAACCAGGGTCTTGCTGCGATTGAGAAGTGTGGTGAAGCTGCGTTAAATGTGAGTAGCATTGGGTGCAGTCCCGGTGGGAAAGTGTGTATGGGTCGGGCACTCACGGGCCTCTGTGCAGCACCTGACAGCAGCAGTTGTCAAGTACATTCTTCCATACCTGGTCCTCTGGCCCGTCTTAGGCATCCAGAGAACCACTTTTGGATACATGTCCTTTACTTCTTACTAAAATCCTTGTACCAGAAGAGAAAAAACTCTTCCATGGAAAAAAGGGCTGAAATAAGCCTTCTGAAAACTTGCTGCAGAGGAGCTCTGTTGGCATAGTGCCTAAGGCATTTGACTGCTAACCAGAAGGCTGGCGGTTCAAACCCACCAACCACTCCTCAGAAGGAAGGTTGGGCAATCTACTTCCGTAGTGATACCGCCTCAGAAACCCAAGGAGGGTCACTGTGAGTTGGAGATGACTCGACAGCACACAACAACAACAAGAAACTTGCTGCAGAAGTCCTGGAGCTGTACCTTTCAGGGGCTTAGTTAACTCTCCTTGTGGCCAGACTGACTAGGTGAAGACATGGGCTGCTTGCTGTGTGAACACTCTGAGATGTACATGCAGCACACATGCACCTGTTGGAACGTATAGATGTTGCTGCCGGTCTTCTGACAACATGGCTTTCACACGGTGTTCTCATACATGAACACACACACACACACACACACACACCATCGGCGTGTGTAGACATCCCCACTGGTCCTCTGAGTCAGCACAGCTTTCACACAGTGTTCTACATGCGTGTGTGTGCGCAAGCGCACACTTAATGCTCATCAGAGTGTGTACATGTCCCTGCCAAGACCTTTGACTCAGTGCAGCTTTCACATGGTGTTCCTGTATGTGTGCACACATGCGCATGCACACACACATACATGCATGCACCCATAGGAGTGCATAGAATGTGCCTACCAGTCTCTCTGACTCAATGGTGCTTTTACACAGCGTTCTTTTTTTTTTTTTTTAATGTGATTTGGGTGAAAATTTACAGAGCAAATTCATCTTCTATACAGCAGTTCATGTACACACTGTTCCATGATATTGACTGCAGTCTGCCACAGTGCAACATCTCTCTTCCCATTCCTCCCCATAGCCACCTCTTCCCCGTGTCCTTTGCTCCCATGTACCCCTGCCCCCTGAGCTATCTCCCACTGGTCCTCTGAATCAGCACAGCTTTCACACCATGTTCTCCTACATGTGCATGCATACACAGCCCTTCTGTTCTCCCATGATTCATCTCTCCAAGGAGTAGAATGTAAACTGTCAGCTCATATGCCTGTCTTTTGGAAGTGGGTTCAGTTCCAAACCTGAAGGGTAGCTAGGGGCCATAGTCTCAGTGGGGCCATAGTCTCAGTGGTTCCATCAGGTTCTATCAGACCAACAAACCTGCTCCCTTTTTTTTTTTTTTAAATGATTTTGAGTTTTGTGCCACATTGTTCACCGACTCTCTCTACGATCTCCTACAGAGATTCCCCTCTGAATGGTTGACAGTGGTAGCCGGGCACCATCTAGTTCTTCTGGTCTCATAGTCGTATATGCTGAGGATGGTGTACCAGTTCCTTGGACTAATTGTTTCCATGCATGTTTGGTTTTCTTCATTCTTCTTTGCTCTGGATGAGGGGAGACCCATTGTTGCATCCAGATGGCCACTTGCAAGCTTTTAAGATCTTAGTCACTACTCACCTAAGTAGGATGTGGAACAATGTTTTTGTGTAGTATGTTACGCCAATTGAGCTTGATGTCTCCTGTGACCATGGTCCTCACACAGCATTCTATCTATCTATTAACTAATTAATTAATTATTGTGATTTGGGTGAAGATTTACAGAGCAAATTCACTTTCCATACAGCAGTTCACATATACTTTGTGTCATGACTTTAACCACACTTTACCACGATGCAACAGCTCCCCTCCCACTTCCTCCCCATAGTTACCTCTTCCCAGTGTCCATCCCTCCATGCACTCCTGCCCCCTGAGCTGTCTACCTGTGCATAAGCAGCCCTTCTTTCTCCCATGATTGTTCTCTCCAAGGAGTGTATCTACTTGAGGTAAATACTCAACTCATATGCCTGTATTTTGTTT